TTTTTTTTTTTTTGATTTATGGGTTTTTTTTCTTTTATTTTTCCTTCTTGAATCTCGAACTTGTTCCATTTATCGAAAATATGATTAAATATAATGCGAGTTTTTCATTGCTTAGGTATGTGAGCATGCTGTCAAGGAGCCTCAGTGTAGAATATAAGCACCAAGGAATTGATGTACAATGCCAGGTTTGTACACCAAGTTCTCCGTAAAATTTCCCCTTCCGAATCGAATACTCATGAAAATGCTTTAACTTTTTGTTTCTACAAATAAAATAGGTAGGTAATATAACTTTTACAAATGTTTCAATAGTCTTCTACATTATATGGAATGATAATTTGATATGATATATTTGAAATTTTTCCATACATGACAATAGATTCCACTACTCGTGGCTACGAAGATGGCATCGATAAAGAAAGCTTCACTTTTTATTCCATCTCCGGAGACTTATAGCAAGGCGAGTCTAAGGTGGATCGGGCATCAAGAGCAAGTATGTGTGCCCTATTGGCCGCATGCATTGCAGGCCTTCGTTATGGGCCTCTTGCCGGAGGCCCTACTCGATTGTTGCCTGCTTAGGTATTTTCTTGGCATGCGAGCACGTGGGCTTCGAAAGGATTCTAAGGGTTCGGGACGGGTTTCGGGTTCGAATTCTATTTGAAACATTTGTGCGTGGACTATGCAGAATCTATACCACGTAATCGACTCATGTCAATGTATAACTATATATGTAACCATGAGATTTACTTCATCTTTATTCAGGAACTTTCGATCCTAACTGCAGTATTTTTATCGTTGGATCAATACAAGTACTCACACTAGTGCATATTGATCCAATAGTATCAAACTCATGGCCAAGTGCAAGTTATATTGGCGTATAAAATAATCGACTATTAAATTGTTATTGGAAAAATGTGTTTACACTGTTGTTTGAATTGAGCTATTCTCGAACACAACTCGATTCAGTACATAAAAGCTCACAACTCGTTTATTTATTTATTTATTTTTTTGTAGCTTTCAAACGAGAAGTTGAGCCGAGTATGTTCGCAAAACAATCTAAAACCAACCCGTAATCAGTAATCACCAAACAATAACTGTGCAAGGAAAAAGTTTGATTTGCACTTGGGCTACAAATTACATGCACACAACCAAAAAAATGAAAATGACATATATACCCTTCACACTTCTTTTTATTCTTCTCAATCTGACCTCATCCTGTTAATCTGGTTCAAAGCCGGCTGCAAGATGTTGTACAGCACCCAGACGATCGCCGGCGCCACCACGAACAGCAGGAGCTGCCCCCGGTTGTCCGCTGCTGCCGCCTCCGCCACGGCGGTGATCTCCCCGGCCGAGGCCTCCGGCGGGCTGAAGAACCCAGACGAGGTGAGCGCGCCCAGCCCGAGCCCGACCACCACCCCCTTGGCGCTTCTCATCCGGTTGATCTGGTTGAGCGCCGGCTGGAGGATGTTGTACATCACCCAGAGGACTGCGGGGACCAGCGGGATCAGAAGCGCGACGCCGCGGCTGTCGCCGCCGTTGGCGATCTCCGCCAGCTGCTGAGCGGCGATGGCGGGGTCCGCGGCGGCGATGGCGGCGAACACGGCGCCGGCCGCGACGGAGGCGGTGGGCTGAGCGGCCGCGGAAGAGGAGGAGGAGGAGGAGGAGGAGAAGCTCTTCGTTAGGATTTGGATGGGGAAAAGAGGGATTTGCTTCGCGGGCTTCGAGGTGTTTGGGGTTTTGGGGTTTGTGGCGGCGAAGCTTTTGGGGCTGAGGATGGCCATTGATGTAGCCATAGCAGCTGCCATTTTCGTGTGAGCTCCTTTTTTAGTCGAGATTTTGCAGAAAAATAAGAATAAAAAAAGTTTTGGGATTATTATCTTATCCAAGAGTTGTGAGTGGTGGGATTTGGTCCTCATATTAGAATTAGGAGGCCCGCCTTGGATTTTCTTATCACAAACTTCCTCACATTTTGTTTGACCCGCCCCGACCCGGCGGGGCAATATTTATTTTTGCCTTTTTGGATTTAGACGGCTTAGAGCGTGTTTGTATACAAATATATTTAATTAAAATGAAGCTTTTTTAATTAATTAGAGTTAATTTTAGAAAAGTTGGTATGACTAGTTGTTAGTGAGATTTTGATTTTATATTAAAATTATATTTAAAATAAAATGAATTGATGTGATATATAATTATGAGATAGATGATTTGAAGTGATTGTTAGTTAAAATTTTGTGATTTGATGAATAGTGAATTAAAGTTGATGTGATTTTTAACAATTTAAGAATGTGTTGATATTATTCAATTATATTGATAATATTTAGAATATGTAAATTTAGTTAAAGTTGAATTAGATTTTGAGTGCAGAATGAGTTTTTATATATACAAACACACCACGAGTATTTTCTGTTCGAATCTATAGATGGAAAAAGTTTTTAATCTATTCTATACTTACTCTATGTTTGTGATGTGGGTTTGTAATTTGTATTTTATTGTGGGTTTTGTTACATTTTTAATAAGCATGCTGAATCAAGATTTATTTTAACAAATTAGTGCATTACACATAATTTGCTGATCATAGCCACATTGTTCCTAACAATATGGATTATTGTTTAAGTTCTTCCATCTTTTGTCAATTTTTAATAATAGATAAGGGGTGTCAATTTTTGGTAAAAACTGTTGTGTGGGCTTAGAGCTATAGCGGGCCTATATCGTACAATTTGGGCCATCTTTCAAAATTTTCTCTGGCCTGTATAATAACATAAATCAGGGGTTTTGTGATTGTCCAATTTTTTTAATTTTTTTTATTAATTTTTTTTTTTATTATTTCAACATAGATGACTTGGTGAAGAACAAAATACTGTAATTGGTACCATTGGTTCTAATAGCACTTGACAAACCGTTGTCAACGGCCTACATGAAAATTATTACCTGTTTTGTCATGGAGCCAACAATTGGCGTCATTGTGGAGCCAATCTTCTATATACGACAAATAAACCTACCATATTCTATGATTACTTAAATAACATTAATATAATTCTATTGATATGATAGGTTTATTTGTTGTATATAGAAGGTTGGTTCCACTATGGAGCTAACTGTTGGCTTCATAGAGAAACCAGAATTATTACAATATAATGAGAAATGCTCACATACCCACGGTTGGCACATGTTAATATGCCCACCGCGTAGGTGGCATGCACTCATTGGTGATGCATTTTTTTAACATATTAACATCACCAATGAGTGGATGTCACCTATGCGGTAGACATATTAACATGTGCCCACCGTGGGTAGGGAAACATTTCTAACAATATATGTGTTCATTATATTAATCTTGAATTTGAAACAAACCAAATGTAGAAATAATACCTTATTGGTGCCTTGTCGTATAAGTGAAAACAATATTAATTTAATTAGATAATTCAAGTCTTTTATTAATCAGTAAAAGTTTCCATACATGATTGCTTGTATCTACTCCATCCAGTTGCTTAACAAGCAAACATTCATTGACAAATTAAAAAAATTAAAACTCATTTTGTTGAATAAAAATCTGACTAGTACAACACCTGCGTGTTACACGGTTGTTTGTTAAAAAAACTATTCTTAAATTTTATATTTACAATTCAATGGTTATTATAAGAAATGATATTAAAATTCAATTAATACATGTAACTTGACCATAGATAATCAACTTATTTATGAATAGTTCGAACCTAATTATTTTTGTTTAGGAATAAATTAAGATCTACCTAAGCCAAATGATGAACATGTAATTTCGTCACATAGGATCTCGAATCATGCGAGCCGGCCATTTAAACTCAACACGTTTTGAAGGAATATATTGGGGGAATAATTGAGGAAAGGCCCTTCTCTCCAGGCCAGAACATGCAAAAATGCTGGTTTTAGAAATAACAAGCAATTGATGAGATTTTAGGAATAACAGGCAATTGATGAGATTTGTGTTCTTTTCGTTACGGTCACGAAATTCAGCTGTATGCTTACAATAATTTTATTAAATTATTTATTTATATATAGAATTCTTTGTTATTATTATTATTTTACTTGATTTGTTATACTTGTGGATGTGTATAGTTGAGATTTTTATAGTTATGTTGAAATAGGGAGGTTGTTTTTAGATGATCATATTTTTTTCGATTGATATATCAATCGAAAACAATACAAACAAAATGTGACATTTAATTTACTAGAATATTCACTTGTGGGTTGTTCCACCTCGTTTATATAGAGAAAGTATGTTTAATCTATGTATGCTTAATTTATAAGTCTAATAGGTCACTTCTCCTTCCACCAATTGGTTTTGGGATGGAATCTCATTTGAGTTTTATCTGGGCTTTCTCTGCTTATGGTGTAGTTCATATGCGTGGGACCGCACCTGTTTTCCCCCATTTCTTACATGGTATCAAAGCCGGTTCTATTGAAATCGTGCGATGACGTACCCGTTTTTTTCCCCTGTTTCTTACATAATTTATAGCATAAATATATATTTTCGTGTAATAATTAAGCCGCTTCATATGAAGAACTTTTGGGGTAAAAAACTTTTTTAGCCAAAAGAAAAAAATGATGCCAAATATAAATTTCAAGTGAATTGACTAGTCCCGCTCACCTCTCCACGGTGGGCAGTGCCCACCACTTTATTTTATATGAAAAACGTATTATGATAATATGTTTTTCAATTAAATTAACCCACCACTTTGTTTTTAATTGAAAAACGTATTCTCATAATACGTTTTTCATATAAAACAAAGTGGTGGTCACTGCCCACCGTGAGCAGGGGATCAAAATTTTTGACTATATAGCTAGTCACATGAGTTTTCTTATTTTATATATAAGTAAAATTTTCGACCCTTTGTTGGATCAAACATGACGGGCCCTATTTTTTATGTGCTATATATAGTTGTGGAAGGTAATAATATAATGTTTATTGAATTG